CAATCTAAAATTGACGAGATGATTCTCACGATTCCCCAAAGGATCAACGAACTCCACGAAGCGAAAGGAAGATCCACTAGATATTAATTAAAATTATAAATATATCAATTCATGAATATGACTGAAAAATTTAATTTTTTCTGAAAAGGTGGTGTCTATTTACTTGTGATCACACTGTGTATATGTTAAATATCCTCTCTTTCATTTGTATAAAAAAAATGTGATATGTTATGGGAAACTAGTACGAGATTTACATGCTTATTTACTATCAACCAATAGAGAAAATTAAGATCCTTAGTAATCAACTGTAAAAACGGAGCATCCTAATTACAAAAAAAGTAACTGTAGATAGCCAAGGTATGTGTATTACAAACTAATGGGTATGTAAATATATCTAAAAATGAAAGAATACAGTAATCTGCAACAACCTTAAATAAGTAAAACCATTATCTGAAAGCAATTACAAAACTATCTCATTGAACTGAGATCCTTTACCAAAAATTGCATACAAGATAAAATGTTACAAGTTTACAATGATAACAAAAGCCTGCGAAGGTTTTATTGTCTTGAAATTTTTACATGTTCTCCAGTTATTCCTGTACACCAAATCTAAAAATGATATCCATTTTTCTCCATCATCCACAGATTTTTCACAAAACATCACATGTTCTTTTACATAAGTGAATCATTTTTGTTGGAATTGGGTGATACTTTGTTATGCTTAAAATGTTGACAACCACTGGCTATAGATTTCTCTAGACCAATCACAATGTGAGAGTCTTATCTATAGTTCTAGAACTCAAACATAACAATAAAAAATGTTCATTGTGGTAAACAAAATAATAATTGGATCTAAGTAATAGTTTATTTTTCTTCCTGGTTTGTAAAAATCCTCAAGTGACAGAAAAAAAGGGAATATTATTTGGAAATCTGTGTAGCTGAATTATGGAAAATACGTTATTAAAACCAAAATAACTTTTAAGAAGTTCAAATTCGCAGGCCTGTGTAATTAAATCACAGACAACTAAAAAAATGTTTCCCTGCTATTTACTACCAACATATACATAAAAACATGCTTATACTTAACATTATAATATCACAATATCACATACAACTTTGGTACTTATCTAAATTAGAACATTATGCAAGATTTAAACAAACTCATGCTTTATTATTTTATTTTATCTATTATTTGTGTGCCTTTCTGTTACTGTTAAACTTTCAAACCTTTCCGTTAAAATCAGAACACAGAAGCTAACTTTTTCAAAACTGTAGTTTATCTTATGTTTAAGATACATAGTTTTATCTCCTTTGTTAACTGTTTAATGAAAACAGTTATCAAAAGTTCATCTCTCAAACTTTTTCAAAACCATAGTTTATATTGCCATTATCTGTTTAAGTTATATAGTTTTATCTCTTTTGTTAACTGTTTAATGAAAACAGTTATCAAAAGTTCATCTCTCAAACTTTTTCATTACTGAATTACTTGAATTTCTAGTAGTAGCTAACTTAGATGATAAAAATATGCAGTTTAGATAAAAATCCCCAAAATGTCAGTTACCTTCTGGCCAACAAAAAATTAATAGCTTTCAAAGAAACAATGTTCTAATGAAATATCTATGTTCATCAGTTATAAAAATTCTTCCCAACACTGTCTTCTAGACAAATTGTATCAACAGACAGAACTCTGGATGCTACCTCAATAATAAGTTGACAACTTGATCTTTTTGCAATAACCTCATTCATTCCATGGCAATCACAGCAACAAATGCATTATCCAACCATACTCTTTATTAAATGCTACATTCAATTCCACTTTGAATTCTAAAGTCTAGAGCAAAACTCTGTATGCACCAATATTGTCTATTCTATGGCAACTTACCCAAGTCATACAGGTTAAATAAACCTGCAAGGTCAAGCACCTTAACCATCAACACATACCAAGCCAAAGAATTAGGACAAGCTAAAAAACTTCAAAAATGCTTTTTATATTATTTCCAAAAATTCCTACTGAGTTTACTTAATCCCATAATTAAATTGTTTTTTAAATATTCTGTAAAATAAAATAGAAAGCTATCAGATCTCAAACTAGAAAAACTATTGGTTTTATTTCCTCAGTGCATATTGGAGTATAAAGGGCATTAATTATAAAAATAAACAACTTTATAGCACTAAATTTAGTTTTTTTAAAATTGAAAACTCAAAGTTTTACTTGGCAGCTTCTTCAATTAAAACACAAACTGTAATTGGTTTATATAAGGAAATTTAACCGATCCTATAGTGTGCGTTTCTACAGCATGCATTTGATATTATAGATGGTAAGGCTTATTGTTAAAACTCTATATTGATGAAAATGTAAATTATTCTATTTAGTAATCAAAAATTTCTATTGAAAATAAAAACAGTCCCTGTTCATCTGAATCACAGTTTTTGAGCAAAAAAAGCTTCTTTAACCCTAAAAGTATTAGATATGCATTTAAGAGGTTCTAAGGGTTATGCAATTACAATATGCAAGCTATACAATGAAAAAAGTATTTTCATTATTCACACAAAAACACTGCTTTGCAATATAACTTCTCAGAGTCTGAGTCAACTGACATTATCAATTCAGGCATATCTTTAGTTCAAATCCTTTATTAACACAACCAAAGTTTTGTGTATAACAGACATGTGCTGTTCACTAAAGGCTTACCAGATTTCATGAAGATAAAACATACTCAATTTGAAATTCTATTCAACACTACATCATTATAGAATCAGTCCACTGGACTGACCCCTTGCACAGTCAGTTAAATTTTCTATCAGTATTAACTTTTAAGAATAAGATTTACTACATATAATGTCAAATGCACACTCTAGAAATGCATACTATAGAACAGATTAGAATTTCTTACATAAATCAACTGAAGCTACGTACTGTTAGTTACAGTTTGTATTTCAGGGGAATGCTCCTGCAGGAGCTGTATAGGGAAATGTTGAGTATCCAATTATAAATAAAACAAGAACTAAATTTGGTGTTACAGTCATTTATTCCTAGAAAACTACCTAATACCAAACTACAAAACTAACTGATCTTTGTCACTTTTTTGTTATACTTCAATGACCTTGAAAATTATCTCTGTTTTTCATCATCTTCTTTTTTTTAAAAGATCCATGTTCCTCTTGGGTTATACCACCAACTAACAGCATGCTCTTCATACCCATATTAGGATATGCAAAAGTTTTATTCACAGAAGACAAGAAAAAATACCATTACTGGAAACTGCACCTTTAAAAGCCTGGGGCATATATTAAATAAAATACACTTGTGGATAAACCTTACAGTTACTTTTAAATCATTTGGTTTCAGGTTTTGATCAATTCATTTAACTCATTACAAATACATATCTTAATATCTATTAACTAGACAAAAGTTAAGAAAATTTTAATGGTTCTTAAGTAGCAAATTATATTAACATAAGGCTAGAATGTCTAGGCACGTAAATCATGTAATTATAAATTACCAAAACCTTATACATACACATATACACACACACTTAATTTTTGATAAAACAACTAAAAATTATCGTAAATAAGTCACCTTCAGTGTTTTAATAATTTTCTAAAGTCTGCAAAGAATCCTATCTCAACTAGATGTGAAGTACTAGTATATATTTTTAAAAAACAGTTTACAAGGTAACAAGAAAGAAACACAGATGGAGAGATTGATACAGCATGTGTATCTGCAGTATTTTAATAAATTTTACCAAAGAAAGCAGCAAGTAAAACAGTGTTATTAATTTCTCTTGCTCATATTACATTAACTAGTAATTTTAATGAAATATAAGTCAATACAATTCAAGTAACCTTGTTTCTGCATCCATTATAGCTTCACAGTACTGTGCAGAAAAGTTTATCATGTGTATGATGCAAATAAAAAAAAAACATCACCTTATCAAACTTAAAAATAGATTAACTCATGATATATGGACTCAAGTTTTCTAATGTTGTGTTTTGTTTTCACCTTTTCAGAAGTCATTCTTGCTGTATTTTCAAACAAACAGCAACAGTACAGTTCTTACACACCTATCAGTTTAACTTAAATAAATAATGTTTTGAAAGGCTTCATTTATGATGATCAGTAAGTTCCAATGAGATAACATGATGTACTCTCTCATGAACAAACTTATTTCTATATTGTCCTCTCTTGGTTCTTAATCATAGCAATGGAAGCAACTGGAAGGTTTTGGACAGATCTTTACCAAAGCTATTGTTACAAATAATAGGCCTTGTTTCCATTGTTAAGGAAATTGCATCTTACTTTACTAATTCAAAACTCTGGTGGCTAGGTTATGAAATGTTGTTGTACCCAGTTTATTACATCTCTCCATCCTCGTACCATCATAGCAACCACAACAATAAGAAGGATGGTTGTGAGTATACGAAATCTGAAAACAAAATTGTTTAATAAACGATTATTTCAAAGCTGCTAGTTTTGCAAGCTCTTTTATAAGATTAACAATATGATGAATACTGCTTAATGATGTTCATCAAGAATAAATCAAGATAAAATTATGATAATAAAACTATTGAAAAAATACAAATTCTCAAATATTAATTACTGAATTTCAAGCAAAATTGCCTTTGAAATAAAATTATAGTTTCCATGCTGAAAACAAAATTTTAACTTACATTAGTATTGTGACAGAAGATTACATTATTGAATAAGAAATCTGTCTTTGGAAATATAATAAATAATACAATTATTTCAACACTCAAAGTAGGTTTTTTAAAAAGTACTACTTAAAGGATAACACTACCGAGTTTCTTGTTACTACTGTATGAGACAGAGAACCCAACTTAATATTAGGAATTAACAGGGACAGACTAGTTTTCTTTTTCATCATAATTACAGATAGTAATTGTACAGTTTAATGAAACTTACTGGTGAGCAGTTTTAAGAAATCTTTATAAGCTGTTCTGCTTTCTTAAATAATATTCTTAAAGCTGTTTATCATTACTGTACAGTATAAAGTTTATAATTTTTTTCACTTTAAAATCGTTTTTCTTTCAGTCTTAAAGATGAATTAATCAATTCTCTTTATTTTTCATGCAAAGTAATTTAAGATACTACACTGTACAAACATAGTTTATAATAAAGCTAAAAGTAATAAATAAAAATAAAGTACTACCACCACTGTTTTATAACATACACACAAAAAAAAAAGAGCTCACCTAGTCTTAAGAAAAGGCATAAGGATGTTACCTAATGTTGCCACAAGCAGCAGTACAACTTGAAGCACAGTTAAAAGAACATTGATTAGCTTTAGCACCATGGCTCGAGCATTGGAATTCTCCAATGAATCAAGATTTACCAGTTGTTGAAAATGTTGGTGTTGCTGGTGCTCCATCCTGGAAATCTAAAATAAAAAGGTAAATTTTATACAATCGTTACTGTCTTCAGATTGTCAGCTTTTTCTCTCTCTCTTAACCCTTTCCATATGGGTCACAGGTGAAAGGTCATCTCGTTTGTTGACTCCCGCTCAAAATTTTATTGAACTACTATTTCATGAATTTATGTCAATAAGTTTGTTATCAAACTGTAAATTATAATTCAAATCTTAGTACTATGTATTACTCAATTTCTTAATTTAAAAGCAAATATTAAAAAACACAGATAAACATCAATTTTTGTGTGTCATGTGGTATGTTGAATGCAGCACTGGTTCAAGTTAGATGTTTGTGAAGTGAAAAATACTACATCTATTGTTTCAAAAAATTAGAAACTCAAATTACCAATATTGACAAGCTAGAATATAAAATAAGAGTTATCTTTTCAATTTGCTGAGTTATTG